ACAAAAAAAAGCAGAGAAGTTTTTTCTCTCCGCCTCCTCGGAATGGCGATTCCTTTCCATTTGCTCAAAAAATTAGGAGAAGCTTTTCGATTCTCATGCAAATCTAAAAAAACCTCAAAATCGATTTCCAATTTGCTCCAAAAATAACTCCACAAAAATCGATTTCTCCGGGAATTTCTGCGAGACCGTCCATATCCTCTTCTCCTCTCTGCCGCTCCCAACTGAGAAATTGATGATTTAAAGTCAGAAGGAAGAAGAGGGACAAAAGATCTTATTGGATTTGGCTCTTCCCTTTCCTTTTTCCCCATCCCCCTTTCTTTTTTTCTCATATGTTCTGTCTGGGTCTGCTCTGTTCTAATTATCTTCTTCTCGTTCTCTATGGTCTTATTCAGTAGCAAGGGAAAGGGAAGAGATAAATCATCAGAAATGGAAGAGAGCGGCGCGAAAGAGGCAGGGGCGAAGATGACTGCAGCGTCGATCCTTCCTCTCTTGCAATCTCAGACAGTCAAAGCCATGCCTTCGAATTCATGGTCGGTTTGATGAACTCGAGTGGGCTTGCCTGTTTTGATTGCATAAATTATGTCTCTGAATATCGTTGGCTCGATATTTGAATCTCTTGTATGTTGCATGTGTGGAAGATGAGAAGGATATTAAATTATTTTCAAACTCCCTGATTTCTATGATTTTTGTAACGTCCCAACTCGTTTAACCAAACTGAAATAACCCTGGCTTCAGAGTAGATTAAAAACAACCTCAAAATTTCATTAAAACAAATACAATCGAGTTCTTTTCGAAAAAGAAATTACAATGAAATGCCATAAACACGTGGGAGACCTCAACCAAACGCTTAAACCACTTATACCATGAACTTTGAATCTTGAATCTCCAGTACATATGTTCAAAATCATGAACATAAAATAACTTTGAATCTGAATCTAGCTCCTCGCCAAGCTCCACTTGATCTCGTCCACCTTGGTGCGACTTTTCGTCTCGCCTTGTCTCTTCTGAAATCCTCCTCTGCTAACCCTTCCTCAACCTGGTGAGTGAGAAGGGGTCAGTCTCGTCGTTACTTCCTAAGGTCTTTGCCCTAGACAACTTTCTACTAACACGTTATTAAAGTTTCCTTTCTACCCCGAAAGTCATTCTTGCTTTCTTCTATGAAATAATCATTTCTTTCACTAGCTTATAGAAGTTCTCTACTTCTATCCTGGTCTCATTGAAGTTCTCTACTTCTATCCTTAACTCATAGACATCAATACCAAGGACCATCGCGTTACGTATCGTCGTCCGGTGTCCCTACCCTAGTATGCCAACCGCGTTATGTGTCGCCGTCCGGTTGCATACCCAAAATCGGGAATGGCACTGCGTTACATCTCACCATCCAGTAGTAACCCCAACATTCTCGATCAACTGTTGCGTTACGTCTCGCCATCCTGTAGTGATCCGACCATCTACCGCGTCCATTAGTGGCCCAACCGCCCGGGGGTTCATCATACCATTAACCAACTATTACAACCATACATTCATACATTCACACATAGCACAACGCGTGCCTCCACCCTTATAGGCGGTGGGATGCCTCACACACATATCGCACATACTAGAAAATTAACTAAATAATAACCTGAAGTAAAATCATAAACTAAAAGACCTCGACGGAGATTTTACCCCCTTTACACTCACCTCCAAACGATACCTCCTCGATTCCTCCTCGAAAAATCTCTCCTTAGCCGGATTATCTTGGGAAACCTATTAATAAGAATCCATTTTCTCAGACCATCTTTCTCGATTTAAAACCCCTTTTTATTTACCAAAACACCTCCTTCTCAAAGTATCATCCTCAAACTTTATTCCAAAGGTCCCTTAACCTCCTTTAAATTTTTTTTTAGAAGTAATCCCTTCAAAATCGACCATTTTTCCTAATTAATTTCGTCTTGAACGAATTTTTCACCTAACTTAAACCTTCTTAAAAATTTGGATTTTCCATTGTCAATCAAGAGAACATAAACCATGTAAAATTATCAAATTCCTAAAAGCTCCTCGACATCTTTTTTTATTTAATTATAATAAACGTTCGACTAATTTCTAAAAATAACAATACATTTTCAAAAACCCCCTAATTAAATTACTGCCATCTCCTAGAACACTCTCAATTTATAAAATTGTTAAACGTAGAAGACAACACCTACAGAGGCTCAAAACAATTAAAATATCTAAAAACACTTTCTGAAAAATTCCCTGCAGCTTTTGTGACCAGCCGAAATCTGTCACTAAAAGCCTGTAATGTCTATTGCTAAAATCCCAGAATTGCACCCTCACGAAAAATCACCAAATCGATCAATCTAACTCAAAGGGATCGATTTCCCTTACCTCTAGAACGTGCCTAGGACTAGATTCGATGACCCGGGACGTTGATCTCCTCGTTGATCGATGATCAAACCCTCAAACCTCGTCGCAAACGCTATAGTACAAAAATACGAGTTTCGAATTACTAACATACTCATCCAAATGACCGCCTTAGTTAAAATACTAAAGTTTTGGAATGTTGACCTTCATGTGTATCTTTTGAGCTAATATTACTAACAAAATTGCTAACTAAAAATTAACATTTAGCTAATTATTAGTAATTAAATATGTTTGACTAAAAAAATTATAATGCGAGAAATATTTGACTAATAGTTTACGCACCTAGAAATACAATGATACGATGAATTTGGAAAAAAGGGACAGCAAAAGAAACACGATGATAATAGGTTTAAGATAGAATGTGTATATGCACGCTTTATAACCAAATTTGAGCCCTTAGTTTTGAGTAGGGCAGAAGGACACAGATCTAACGGTAATAATTTTATTTTCTCTATTTTTTCATTGCACGAAATGGAACGAGTTCATTGTTATCTATCAAATGAGATCCATTTTAATATATTTCAAGAAAAAAATTATACCACTTGGTATCACCTTTGATTTTGACTCAAATTTGAAATTATTTGCCAGGATAGAGCGATTTCATCATGATTTATTGAATATACAAATTTCTAAAAAGAATACAAGACCAAAATATACACTCCATACCATCCTGGTATAGAGGTGGTAATTGGTGGTAAACAATGATGAATGTGATAAATGACAATTTGTGTATGCCTATTATCATGTACTCAACCATTATACACTCTGGTATGTTCATACCACCATGATACACTTTCATACCACATGGTATGATCTTACGTAATACTAAGCATTACCACCATGGTATAGACTGGTAATAAACATCTCAATTTTTTTCGTTGCAAAATATATCAAACTGGATAGAAGAACACAATTAATTTAATTATGTGTGCAAAACAAATTAATTTACGACTTAAAACGAAAGAGATATAGTTCATTAAAATTTATAGAGAAAAATGTTAGATACCTTCCATAAATGGTGATGTGGCAGTTATGCATGGTTATGCACCATTAAGTTATGCAAGAAATCCGCTCTTAGTACTTTATACTTTTTTTATTGATCTAGAGTTGTGGGCGAATGACGGGAATTGAACTCGCGCATGGTGGATTCACAATCCACTTGGCTACATCCGCCCCTATAACCAACCCCTTTATTGATTTACTTTTATTTTCTGAAACCCTTAAGTTTTGACGGGGATGTCTTCCCAATTTTTACGTTTCATTTTGTGGGTAGGGTTCACAAAAGGATAGTCCACTTGGTTGCTCGGAAGACCCTTTTTTGTCTCCTACGACTGTGTTTGGGTTTGATTTTCATAATTGGCTTCTACCAATTAGGTAATAAGTATTATCATTATGATGTTGTGGTGTTGGTAATTCCAATGAGCTAATGAAAAAAAAAAGACGACAAAAAAAAAGTTAGGCTAATACCACTGGAAAACACGAACTATTAACAAAGTGACATTTATGTCCCGACCTATAAAATATGATATTTATGTCTCAATTTATTATAGTTGTGTGTCATTTATGTCTTGACGATTTCGTTGACGGTTATAGATAACAGTTGACCAGACAGAAGTCAACTTTAACATTGATTTTTGTTGACGTGGCAGCCACGTAGATGCCACATCATTGACAACTCATATTTTTAAGTTTAAATATTTTTAAATTTAAATATAAATATTTTTAAGTGACATAGAAAAGTATATAAAAATTATATTTAATCATTTGATATGAAAATAAATATAAATAAATATTAAAAATTCCTTATCAGACGCCACGTCGACTGGATATTCTATTAAATATTCACGGTCAAACTCGGCCAACACTAACGGCAAAATAGTTTGGGACATAAGTGTCACATTGAATAGTTCGGGACACAAGTGACACTTTTCATAGTTCGAGTTTTCTTGTGGTATTTGCCCCAAAAAGTTACAATAGAACTTTACATGTCCCTTACAATCATTATTCCATGTGGTTAAAAGAAAGAAAAAAACCGACCATGCATTACTTCCATGTATCAGGAAAAGTGGAAAAATGTCGCTAACTAGCCATTTTTTTATGAAGAACATTGAAAATTTATTTATAATGAACTCAGAAAGTGGCAATTTTGAGCCAAAATCCCATGGAGAGATACCAGAAACAAAGAAAAGGCCAAACATCAGCCCACAAATCAAAACAAAGCCTTACAAGTGGTGAAAACCCTAAGGGGTCGTTTGGATGGAACTTTCTGGTGAGTCAATTGTGCTTAATTGTCTCAAAATGAAGCAATTGGACTACATTGGCACGTTTGGCCACCAAAAAAATGAAATGAACCAATTTTGTATGAGGAAATGTAGATTGCTTCATTTTGGGTCAATTGCAAAATGAAGCAATTGACTCATTTTTTGTTTCCTTTTCCCAAAGCTACCCTTTTCTTTTACCTTTTTTCTTTTCTTTCCTTCCCCTCTCTCTCCCTCTGTTGAAACTAATCACCAAAACTTTCTTCTTTCCTTCGTCTCTTCTCCCCCCTTTCTCTCTCTCCCTCTCTCTCACGAATCTGAGAAGATTAAACCTCAATTCCAATAATCCATTTACTGATTCTTCAACTACCCATCACAAATTTCTTTCTCTTCAGTCTTCAATGACACCCTTCATCTTCTCTCTTTTTTTTTTAACGAATCGTCTTCTCTTTTTCTATTTCCCGTATCTCTGCAGACGAGCAACAATGGCGATTCACAAAATCGACAGTCTTCTCTTCCCTTTCTGCTCACGATCTAAGCTTCGATGGCGAGTCTCCGACGTCTTTTTGTTGACGGGCGAGTCTCGAAGCGCGCCGCCGCCGTAAAGAGATGACTCATCGCCAGCAGAGATGATGAAAGGGGTTTCTCCAACGTCATTGAGCTGAGTTTCTGGGCTTCTGAAGTGGAGCACCTGATTCACGTTATCAATACACATTTCTCCTCTTCGTGTGAATCGTTGTTGTACAAAAATCGAACCCAGAAAGACAGAAGCTCGACATAAACAGGGTCGAGAAATTTGCAGAAGACGGGGTGAAAATCCACTTGTTTCAGCTTTCTCCAACGCTCAACCTTTCTAGGTCACTGGAAAAACTGACTGCATGTGAGTTAATTGGTGAATAAGAGAGGTTTTGATAATAATTTTTGTGCATGATGAACTATCCAGAAAGAAAACCAGTAAAAGGACGAAAAACTTGCAGCAAAACAAAGGATGAGAAAGTTGGAGAAGACAAGGGTAAATTGGTATTTACTCAAAATAACTCATATATATTTCACCATTTCACAACATGTTCCAAACGATACATTCTAGGCAAATTTCTTCATCAAAATGACTCATTTTCGAAAATGAGTCTTTTGATCCAAATTGACTCATTTTGAGAATGATCCATCCAAACGACCGCTAAAACAAATCAAACTCCCAAAAAAGGAGTTTCCACCGCACAAAGATGCCCACACCATCCAGTCGTCAGAAACAGAGAATTCGAATCAAACTCCCAAAAAAGGAGTTTCCACCGCACAAAGATGCCCACACCATCCAGTCGTCGAAAACAGAGAATTCGTCGAGCAGGGAAGCACGTGAAGCCTTTTCAACAGCAACAAAGACACCAGAGAGGAAAATCGATAGAAAAACTGCAACAACCAACCCAAATGGTGTAGGCACACGAGCAGACCTGTGGAAGCACTAGGGAGAACGATCTAACGCCTAATGATGGTTGATCTCTGCCTTCGAGCTCCATGAAGCTACAACCGCGGGAGAATCAAAAAAGGATTCCCAACACTTCTCTGAAACACCTAGTGGTAGCGGTGAAGCAAGGAGGAGCAAAATCATGAAGGAGAAAGGGGATTGAGAAACCTCAACTATCTCTGTCATCTGCAAAACATATATTGATTTATAGATCCGGACAGATCGGACATGAGAAAAAAGAAGAAGCGTCCATCTTCTGAAATAAGGCGAGAATAAGCTCCTAAAGTAAGCACTAAAATAGAGGAAAGGAAGAAAATACAAGTGTAAAGGAGAAAAGGAGCTAATGTCAGCGACTGAAATGAGCCGACGACAGCCCACAGAAAATCAAGTGCATAAAGTTGAGAAAGTTTAGAGAGACGGGAGAGCTTTTGAATTTTAGAGAGAGGGACTTGTATGTCTAATTTTAACTAGCCATGCATATTATTATTAGGATAAATACAATATATTAGCCAGAACTATTAAGCAGTGGGAAATTATAGCCACAACTATTGATATGCAAATTATTAGCCATAAGTATTGTTGCGGGTCAAGATATGACTAACAACTCATTACCATTATTAAAATTTTAATGGAAACTACCACGTCAGCATTCATATTAGCGCCCACATCAGAAAATATTAAAATAATTATTATTTATTTAATAATTATTATTATTAGAAAAAAAATAGAAAACCTCCTCCCACCCATCTTCTTCCTCCTCCCTCCCATCGTTCTTCTTCCTTTGCTGCATCACTCCGCTGCCACCGTGATCGCTCCGGTTGCCCACAATCGGAAGCACTCCCCATAATGATGGTGCAACCCTAGAAGAGACATGGAAGACCCACCACATTCCGCCCCGATCACATTCTTCCTTATTGTCGGGGAACAACCATAGTTGTGTCCCCCGCTGTCGCTAACCCTAATCGAGAAATTGATGATTCCATTCGTAGAACGATCATTTGTTTCCCCAGATGGCACCTTAAGGGACTCTACACCAGCTCGACCCGCTCCAGTGAATCATTGGACACTCACACAAGTCGTCAATTTGGACTTTAGGCATTATCTCTTCCTCCTCGATCGGTCGATATGGGCTCTCAAGATGTCCAAACCTCCCCTCATCAACCATTCCAGCATTAATTCCTTCAATCAAAACATAATCGAACTAATGCTTCATCTTTTTTTTCTTTCTTTTTCCCATTCTCAAGCTGCCTTTGCAAAAGCGCTCACGTGAGGGAAGAAGCAGTCGGTTGACCGCCTATGCAGAAGCACCATTCGAGGGAAGAATCAACTAGCGGGTGGAAAGGGGAACTCGACGACAACCTTCTCTTTCCATAGAGGGTAGATCTGGTGTCGCAGTCCACCTTGGTCGACCCTTATGATGGCAAACGCGTTCCATCTTGTGTAGAGAGGAAGGGGAGAAGAAGAAGAGAATATGGGGATCAGAAGAAACATCATATATGATTTTTGTTTTTTCTAATAATTTATTAATATATAAGTTACCAAATACCAAGGTTGACCAGCTTATGTGGCATTTTCGTTGACTGCCACATCAGAATATCTCTTCCACGTTGCTTAAAAGTTATGGCTAAAATATTTGTATTTACCTTTGTTATTATTAGTATTATTGAATTAACAACTGATAACAATGGATATACAACATATAGCTTTTTTATTATGCTACTTTTAAACATGAGGCGATGGAACTCTCTTCCAAATAAATGTAACCAGTTGCTATCCCGGAATATAAAATCTCATCTTATGCGATCATAGGCCTTGGCTGTAGGGGATTGTGAGAAGAGAGGAAGCCTACTTTAGAATTCGAACATGAAAATTTCATGTTGAAAACCAACGGTGATAGTTTTAGATCAAACTCTTTGACAAATAATTAAAAAAATGTGGGGAGGAAATTGTGAACGATTAAATCTATATTTAATTTTGTGATTGATGTATGTAGAGTGGAAGGTCAGAAAAGTGGCAGCACCCATGAGGAAGGTTGAAGAAGTTAAAGTCGGTTTCAACATAACATGTGAGAAAAATTCTAATATTAAATAGACTATGCATATACTTGACATATTTTAAAAAAATCCCACTAATTTACATTCATATATTATCAAATTAGGAGATGACTCGTATGCTCCAGATGATCTGTCCGTTAGATTTACATAGATGAGCTCCGACCAATCTCAACGATCAACTCTTATTTTCTCTTAATTTTAAATTGAACTTCGGATGTGTGATTAGAAAATCGGGGCCTGGGCTTCATCCATTAGATGTTAGTGTATAGCATCATACTCCAAATTCAGTTTAATTCATGGTTTAGATATATATATTTCACTATGAGTACATGGAGCATAGCATACTTCAGGAGCACACGAGTCTGACTCTATCATGCCCGCCAACGCATAACATCCATCCATATCACTCTCTCTCTAGTAAATGCAAATGGGTGAGTGGGAATCTCTCAAGTTGGCAACTCACTCGTCAAGTTAACGGATCAAGCGAGAGATATCTTTCGTTATATATATATATATATGGTGGCTTCTATGGTACCCCGGGTGAAATCCGGGGTACCGCATACCTCGAGTATGGAAACTCTATCTAGACCTCGAATTATTAGGATTTTTGTGTCTGATATTATACCCTAACCCTTAATGAGTGAACCCTAGGTCATAATTATCTAAATCATAATCTATAAACCCTAAGATGGTGCATTCCTTTTTGTGCCTATATTTGGATGAATCATAACCGTCGATTATTATTTCTAATTAAATTGATCTTGGAGTATAAGATTGGGAGAGTTAACACCTAGATTTTGATCTTTAAGTGTTAGAGTATAGTATCATGTCCGAAAGATCGGTCAATTCAAGGTCTAGATAGTGTTTTCATACTCAAGGTATGCGGTACCCCGGATTTCACCCAGGGTACCATATATATATAGGCAAAGGCTAGTGTACTTCGGGTGTACGTTGTACGCCTGTGTTCACACTTGTTATTTGCACTTCGATATATTTCGGTGAATCAGAACCATCGGTTATTAATTTTTAGATTAAATGATTTTTGTGGCTTGGGTTAGAGAATTAGGGACTGGGGTTCACCCATTAGAGGTTAGGGTATAGTATCATGCCCCAAACTTGGGTTAATTCTTGGTCTAAATAGTAAAACTCTACGGGCGTACAATGTACGCCTGACGTACGCTAGCCTGAATCATACATACATATATTTATTTATTTATTTATATATATACATATATGGTGTCTTCTATGGTACCCCGGGTGAAATCTGGGGTACCACATACCTTGAGTATAAAAACGCTATCTAGACCTTGAATTAACAGGATTTTTGGGCATGATACTATACCCTTACCCTTAATGAGTGAACCCTAGGTCCTAATTATCTAAATCATAAACAATAAACCCTAAGATGGTGCACTGATTTTTTTTGCCTATATTTGGACGAATCATAACTATCGATTATTAATTCTAATTAAATTGATCTTGGGGTATAAGATTTAGAGAATTAAGACCTAGATTTTGATCTTTAAGGGTTAGAGTATAGTATCATGTCCGAAAGATCAGTCAATTCAAGTTCTATATAGCGTTTTCTTACTCAAGGTATGCGGTACCCCCAATTTCACCCTGGGTATCGTAGAACTCCCCCTTGTCGCCTTGGCCGAACATAGTCTGTGAAATTGGTACTCTGATTTTGACTATATTGCCCATTAGCATGTCTGCGATGATGGACAGAGGTAGGTCAACAATACCATAATAATCTGATGGAAAGTTATTATCCCATTGCTTTACAAAAAAAAAATATAAAACATATAAACACTATAATAGACAATCCAAATGAAGTCATTAGCCCTAAATCTAGCCACACTATTGCCAAGCACCCTAATGCCTCTAGAGTGAAAATGAAAAAAAATCAAAGGAATGCTTACCTGGCTCCAATTCCCGATGGTGAAAATGCAAGCCACCAAGAGATTTCATAAAGAAAACCCAATCTGGATTGCCCTTAGACCATAAACCATAGTGACACCAAAGATGATGAATCAAACCAACAATGTCCAAATCAAGTCGATGAAATGTATAAGCCAGTTTTTTTCTTATAAATAGAATTGTTAATTAAAATTATAGAAAAAAAATACAAAGCATGCAATCTGTTGTAGAAATCTCATATACAAACAAAAGAAAAAGGCAAGCAACATATGCCTAGTAACACCAACAGATAACAACTTTTTTCAATACCCCTACCACTGTGAAATCCTACCAAATCACTATGTTGCACTAAACACACGAAGACTTGCAGTTGTGCACTTTCTATCTCTTCAATATGTATAAGTCAATTGTCATGTAACCTCTCCATTATCATGATTTTTATCCTTCTTGACAACAAACACACCGATTGGTCCTTTCTTACTCCTTCGTGGCAGCTACATCATATTTTGCATAAGCACACATTAATCCAAACTTCCATTCCATTGCCGCAATTTATGGCTTGAGGTAATACCACTTCAGTCATAATACGAATTTACATGAAATGAAAGAAATGATTAGTATAATAGCCTTGCAAAATTTAGAGAACCAATGACGATTCCTCTCTTCTACTCATGGTTTCGTCAATAAAATGAAATTGACGGCTATCTTTACCAACGTGTTTCATACGAGCATAACATGGTCTTTTGTATAAACCGTTTCTGTCTTACCCATTTTTGCATAGAAACTCCAAGGGCTAACTTGATGTGGCTCTCCTCTAGGTAAACTGCTTGTATCAACATCAGGCATGACAAAAAAAAATTGTTTTGGTCAAGATACTAACAGGATCTTGTGTTGCTATAAAGAAGTCGAAACCATTTCTTGAACCTCTATCAACCACCAATCAATTTAATATGGGTCATTTCTCTCTTACCATCTAAATTAAAGAGGAAGCTCATGTTAGTCTCTTTCATAGCTTAACTTGACAATTTCTTTAGGGACATACAATCACGATTCACAATTCCAGAATAACCACCTCAGATAATACAATCTTATGGAAACAATGCTAATGAAGCACACAAATTACAGTTCTCTACATGTTTCCTATGAGGGTGTGCATGTGAAGATTAAGAAAAATAGAAGGATTAAGGAGGGAGCTTACTTGGTT